GCTCGCACTTGCACAGTGGCCCCTTTGATCTCTAACAAGAAACCTTAAGCTTCTTGTCTATGGATGATTTTCCTTGTATTTATTAGTGACATGATGAAGTGTTTTGACGTCAGTTGGGTCAATGTGGATTTTATTAATGTCATTCAATTGGAAGGATATTGCTTTGCAACTGAACATCTTTGTCTTTTTGGGTTCTGTCTATGTAGAGGCTTTGTTGCTGATGAGGAACCTCACCATCAACTTGTCTAGCCCTGATTTTGAGCCAATTGTAAGTATTCTTCTGCTTCAATGATATGGTGAAACGCTTCACGTGACAACTCTTGCAAACTGTTAATGTTTAATATTTTGCTTATCACTCTTCTAAGAAGTTCTAGCTTGCTGTGACCGTGTATTTCTTAATTTAAGTTATTTTCATTGACTGTTGCAGAGAGAGGTCCTGTCATCATGTGATGTCAATTCCAAAACTGTAGGAATTGCTACAGGAAATATCGTGAAGAACCAAGAAAAATGAGCTTTTGTGTTGTAGTGTTGAGCACTACTCATAAGCTACCATGTAGTATGTATCTTTCTTTAATCCCCTCAACAAGTAAGATCTCCAATTTGTGGTTACTGGGTTGACATCTGACTTGAATATCTGTGTTTCTTCATCAGCATTATAGATGAGAAGTCTGACAGTGCTCTCATGGCATGCTCTGAAATTCACTAGTTCAAGGATATGGAAATGTCGCTACAGCTGTAGAATCAGAGAGTATTGCCAGATGAAAGGATACATCCTCTGATTGTCATGCATTAAATGATATAAATATCCCTGGGCTGAATGGCAATGTTTTGTACCTGTTTTACTGATCTGGGTCTGTTAGCAGATTGTATGTATGTCTCGCAGGATCTGTTGGTGGCAATTTTAGCTTTCTTGAAAATATAATGTCAGTCTCAGTTTTGTGTAGTATAATTTGCCAAGGCAACATAGCTTTAAGAATTGGGGTTGTAATAATGATGGTTATGCTTTCTTGATCTTTAAGAGCATGGTTTTGTTGTTGTTGTTGTTGTTATATGTGAGAGCCACCTTCGACTTCTTGATTTTCTTGCTGGTTATACTGCATCATAAAAGACAAATTAATGATGACTTTCTATTGTGTGTTTGGATCTCTAAAAATCTCCCTTTAGCCCAAATTGGACTTTAGGAAATCCGGGTTTTATTGCAAAGTATGTTGATTGCTTCTACTGGAGATCTAAATTTGATATTGTGCTGATTTATTAGTATTTGTTGATAGTAAGTGAGATTGTGCAGTGTGCACTAGGGGAAATTTCTCCAGTTGTGATGTTTGTACTTTGTGTAATATGTAATTCATTTTTGTAGTTCTAGTGGACTGATATTCCTAAGAAGTAATAGGATAATGGCCATAGAATTGCAGATGAAGCTTGGGATTTTGTGATTGTTAATTTTTCTTCCCCCCTTTTTTCTCTCTCTCTCTCTCTCTCTAAAGGAGAGATAGAATAGCATGGTGGCCAAAGCTATGCAAGTCTCTATCAAGGGATTAAATTCTTTACTATTCCCCCATAAATCATGAATTTGCTATTAGGAACTGAACTGGATGTCTAGTTCGGGTTTCAAATGTGTGCCACTTTGGTATTTTTATTCAATGACTTAGAATTTATTCACCCACTTACAAACTCAATTTGATCTATTGTTTAATGGGTTGATAGGTAAGTAAAATTTAAATAACTAATTTACAAAGGGTGCTACTATTATCACCTTATTTTTTCATTTTAGACTCCAATTTCTTTCATTTTTTTATTACAATTTTAATCCAATACAAAATTTTAATTTTATTTCTATCATCTCTAACCTCCGAAAAACATATCCAAATCCTAACGCTAACCCCAATCCTACTCTCACCCCCATTGTACCAAACAAGTCACTATCAACTCTGACACACTTTTCCTCACCATTTACAACATCGGCGACTCATCTCTAACTTCGTCCCGCTTTCATGACCCAATAACGGCAACAACTTCCCACTCTAGTCGCCTCTTCTGCGTCTTAGCCACCACTTTGATTTTTTCTTTAATATTCTTTTTGAATTATTTATAGATATTGTATTTATGTATATAAAATTTAAATTAAATATAAATAATTTCACGTTAAATAAAAAATTAAATATAAATTAATACTAAGATACCAATAAGATAGACAAAAATTAAAAAATACAAAAAAAAAATTACTTTGATTCATGTGATGTACATAATTATGCACATTCTGTCTTTTTTATTTAATAGTGTATGCGTGTAGCTGAAGGCATGGTGTAAATAAAATAAGGGGGGAAAATGAGAAAATAAAAAAATATGGATGAAAATAAAAAAAAAAGAAGAAAAATTAAAAAATTAATAAAAAAGGAAAGAGGGAGGAAAGTGGGCAGGAGAGAGAGAATGCATGAGTGAACAAAAAAGGAGGAAAAGAATGTGGGTGGGTGAGAATTAAAGAAATATTGACATTGAGAAAAATTTGGGAATTAATCTCTGCCATTGATACAAAATGTATCTCTTAGACATTTTGGCACATTTTCAAAAATAGTCCTGCTTTATTATATAGATTTATTTGTATGTGGAGCTAATTTTTTTTTCCAAATATCATAATAATTAAATTACAATTTTATATATATAAAAAATAAGTATTCCTCAAATATAATCCATACAAAATTGGTTATTATAATTAAAATTGAGTTTGTGTAGAAAATAGAAAAAACATGCTGATATCACTTTTATATGTATATATATATATATATATAAGTCTTTAGAATGTGAAAAATAAGCCTTTAAAAATGTGTCACAAAAGAAAAAGAAAAAGAAAAACACTACTTTTATTACATATATATGCGTGTGTATGTGTATGTGATATTGTCTGGTTTAATTTTTGAAATATGTTTTTCTGAAATATAAAATTTTTTGAAATATTTTTATAAAAATTTAAAATTTAAAAACATTCATAAATTTCATATGATATTATATTTCTTAAGGTAGAAATAATCTTTAAATTTTTTTTAAAAAATAATGTTTATTTTTGAGTGAAGCATCAATAAATCTCAAAATATGATCTTGAAAATTATTTAGTTCTCTCTTCTTTTTTTTTTTTCTCATGAACCCAGAGGTCTCATTGAATTGAAAATTACACAAAAGATAGTCACTTACACATTTGGGTTTAATTTTTGAAGGATAAAGATGAGTTTATTTAAATGTGAAATTACACATTTGGGCAATAGGCACTATAGAGGTTTTGGATTTTCTTTCATTCTAGAACAAATCTCAAATTACGAATAAGCATGTAACACTTCAATATAACACTCCAATAACGTAGCACGCTAAAAATTCTTTAGTGTACTTTTTTAAAACATAACAATGTAACGCTCCAAACTTTTCTCAAATATAATACTCTAATGTAACACACTAAAAACACTCCTTAATGTACTTTTCCCAAACATAACATTCTCATCAGTGTAATCTCAAATGTAACACTCCAATATAACACACATAAAAATACTAAAAAAATTAATTAGTGTATTTTTTTTTAAACGTAATACTCTTAGTTTGAAATTATACATTTATCCAAAGCTTATTAAGAAATTTTTGTACTCCTTTTGGAATGGTTTGAAAAATCTCACACCCTTTTCGAATAGTTTGAAGAATCTCATATCTTTTTTTTAGAATGTTACATTGGAGTATTACATTTAAAAAATATATATTAATTTTTTTTTTTGTGTGTGTTACATTAGAGTGTTACACCAATGAGTTTTTTTGGAGTGTTACATTAGAGTATTACATTTAAAAAATGTATACTAAGAAGTTTTCTGAAAGTGTTATATTGGAGTATTACATATTGAAATTATACATTTGTTCAAACCTTATTAAGGAGTTTTTGTACATTTTTAAAATATTTGAAGAATCTCGCATCCTTTTAAATGTTTGAAGAATCTCCTATTTCAAGTTATTTTTGTATTCTTTTGAAATGTTTGAAAAATCTTTCATTTCAAGTCATTCGAAATAAAAAAGAATCTCATATAAAAATTCATCTCAAATTTGATTCTCATAAATTAGGTATCTTACCTTTCTAGCACCAAAAAATAAAATAAAATAAAACATAATAGAAATAAAATTATAATCGTAAATCTAATTTTCAAATAATGTATTAAATTTATCTTTTTAAAATTAATAGTACTAATTGATTTATTAAAAAACTCTTAAAACTAATCAGATCACTATTCCTCGAGATAAGATTTATAGATTAATTTTTCTTTATTTTTATCAAATTAATTTATAATCTTACAAAAAAATCTTAGAAAACCAATTCTATAAATAACAATGATTTAGACCATCTCCAACGGTTCATCAAACTTGACATCAAATTTAAATTTTGATGAAAAAGTTACTGTTTGGTGCTCCAACGGTTGCACGAAATCGATATCAAAATGAGAATTCACCAAACAATTCATCAAACTGAGGACAAAATACTGATTTCAGCAAATCATTGTGTGTGACCGTTGGAGCAGAAAAGGTTTAGAATTTTACACATGGTGGTCGACCACCTGGATGACCACCTGGTCGACCACCCGGTTGACCAACCGGTCGACCAGTGCATGAAAAATTGCCCTGTGGAGGTAGGTTCAAATAGTTCAAAAAGGTTTAAAAAAAAAAAAATTTGCCTTCACCGGTTGACCCACGGTTGTAGGTTCAAACAGTTCAAAAAGGTAATAAAAAAAAAAAATTCACCTAACCGGTCGACCTGCTAGTCGACTATCTGGTTGTCTTGAAGGAGATTTGATAAAGGTAAACCGTTGGAGCATTCAGTATCAAATTAAAAAAATGACTATTTTTTTATTCAAATTTAATAAAACATTAGGTGAATCGTTAGAAATGCCCTTATAATACTAATTTTGATGATGTAATAGAACACAAATGACATGAGAAGAAAAAAAAAAATAATAATCACAACGCAATTAATAGCACTTACTACCACCTGATCAGAGCTGATTTTTGAGCTACAAGACTTCAGCTCAAAGCATTTTTTTTTCTATAAATCAAACCAAAACCAGAGGAAGCAAGAATTCATTTGCTACACAGTTCAGTATCTACTCTCTCTCTCTCTCACTCCCCTCGCACGCACAGAGCTGAGCTTGAAGAAGATGTCAAGCAGAAGGGGAAGAATTTCTATTTCTTCCATTATTGGACCAAGAATAGCTTACTACAATAATTGGCTATTAAAAGGTACTTCCAAATCTCCATCTCCATCTCCATCTCTATCTCTACTTGCTATAGTTAATCAACCCTCTTGTTTCTTATTTGTTCTGTTTCGTTCTCTCTCTAACACCACCAAAAACCCTACTTCTCCTCCTCAAGGACGCGAACCTAAACCTGAAGCCATACCCAAACAACCATGCAATTTGGGTCCCAATCATCTTCATTCTGCTTTAATTTCCTTCAATCGCATGCTCCGAATGCGACCTTTGCCCCCAATTTCTCAATTCAATAAAGCTTTAGGCCCTATTTTGAAAATGGGTCATTACGCCACTGCGCTTTCTCTTATTCATAACAAGTTGCAACAGCTCCAAGGCATTCAGGTCGATATCTACACCTTCAACATTGCTATTAACTGTTACTGCCACCTTAATAGAGTTGATTTTGGGTTGTCTCTTTTGGGTACCCTCTTCAAACGCGGCTATACACCCAATGTAATTACCTTTACAACTCTGATTAATGGACTTATTTTGCAAGATAAAACTCCTCAAGCTGTGGAGTTGTTTAAGAAATTAATGAGGAGTAGAGAAATTGAACCCAACGTGGTTATGTATGGAACCATTGTCAATGGGCTCTGCAGAACGGGGAACACTGTCAGGGCTGTTAGTTTGCTTAGGATTATGGAAGAGGGAAGTTGTAAACCTGACACCGTAGTGTATACCACGATCATTGACAGTCTTTGCAAGGATAGAATGGTGGATGATGCTCTCAAACTCTTTTCTAAAATGGATGAAAAGGGTATTTTCCCAGATGTTGTCACTTATACTTCTTTGATTCATGGCCTATGTAATTTTGGCCGGTGGAAGGAGGCTACTGGAATGTTCAGAGAAATGTTGGATAGTGGTATTGCTCCAAATGTTCATACGTATAATGTGTTGCTGGATGCATGTACCAAGGAAGGGAAGATGAAAGAGGCAGAGGGGGTAATTGAAGTCATGATACAAAGAGGTGTGGCTCCTAATGTAGTCACATACAGTACTCTAATGGATGGATATTGTTTGCAAGGCCAAATGGATGAAGCAATTAGAGTGTTCAATACCATGGTGGATAGGGGCCTTCACCCCAATGTTTTTAGCTATAACATTCTAATCAATGGATATTGCAAGAAAATGAAAATAGATGAGGCCATGCATCTCTTTCGAGAATTGCCTCGAAGGGGGTTGAAACCCGACAATGGAACTTTTGGTGCTATGTTACGAGGTTTGTTTCAAACAGGTAGATGTGGAGCTGCTCAAAAACTTTTTAATGATATGCAAGCTGCAGGCATAATTCCAAATTCTCTAACTTATGGTATCTTATTGGATGGGTTGTGCAAAAATGGGCATATTTCTGAAGCATTGTCATTATTCCACGTGATGGAAAGCAACAGTTTACATCTTGATATTGTTAAGTACAATATTCTTATTGATGCATTCTGCAAGGATAAAAAGCTTGATACTGCAAGGGCCCTTTTCAGTAACCTTTCTTCCAAGGGATTGCAACCTGATGTTAAGACATACAATACAATGATACAAGGTTTTTGTGAAGAAGGCCTACTGCTTGAAGCTAAAGAGTTGTTTGTTAAAATGGAACATAATGGTTGTTTGCCAAATGATGTCACTTACAACACTATTATCCGAGGATTTATTGGACAACACAAGTGCTATGAGGCATTAATACTGGTTGAGGAAATGGTTCAAAGGGGTTTTTCAGCAGATGCATCCAATTCTTCCTTGGTCATAGATATACTCACAACTAAAGGACAAGATGCTGCTGTCCAAGAAGTGATAAAGAAGTTCATGCCCAAAGATAGTCATGGAAATGCAAGAGATTGAGTAAAGTGCTTAAGGTGTGAAGGTAAAGCTACGTACATAATATAATATATATTATTAGGTGAAGCTCCCTTTTTTTTCTTTTTCTTTTTTTGTTCTTTTGTTATATATTGGCATGGGCTCATACTTCTCCATCAATAAGTTTGGACTTGTTGCTACATGACTTTGCAACATTATTTTCACGTGTTGTAGATTCTTGTAGACTATTTGTTACCTCTCTCTCTATGTAGTATTTTAATTCACATGTTACAAATTCAAATAGATTCTTTTTCAGTCCCCTGAATTATGTACAAGTGGTCATTTCTTAGGGATTTAGGACAAATGACCTCCAGTGGTACTTTTGGAGATTTCTTTCTTAGGTATGTGGTCATCAACTAGTTCTCTGAAGGAGTGCAACATTATTTTCACATGTCGTAGATTCTTGTAGACTATTTGTTACCTCTCTCTCTCTGGAGTATTTTAATTCACATGTTACAAATTCAAATAGATTCTTTTTCAGTCCCCGGAATTATGTACAAGTGGTCATTTCTTAGGGATTTAGGACAAATGACCTCCAGTGGTACTTTTGGAGATTTCTTTCTTAGGTATGTGGTCATCAACTAGTTCTCTGAAGGGGAATTTATGGTATTAGTAGTGTAGATGATTAAATATCTCTGAATGTGGTTTTGTTGGAAGAGGCACAACTGTTGTAGTATGCTAAATTGGTTAGAAATTACAATAATGGTTGGTCTTTATGCTCTATGAGATTTATACAAAGCTTGAGAGGCTTTACATCATAGATAAGATTGTCATTGTTAAATGGAAGAAAAAAAATAAAAATAAAAAGATCGATGAATAAACCATTTAGAAGTATACTCTTCCCAGTAGTGGGTGAGGCAATTATCGCCTTGTTCGAATGCCTATTGTTGATTTATAATTTTCATTTATGTATCTTGTGCATAATGCCTCATAATTCTTTCACCCTGTCAAAATTTTTGATTCCCCTCTTTTGAAGGTTCATATCGCTGCTGCCACGCTAAGCAACCCCACTCACATACCTCGGTGCTGACATAATTCAGTGGCAACAGAAAATTCTTGTTGAATTAACAATTGTTCCTTTTCTTCTAAGCTATTTCAAATGTAATATTATTTTTATATTATTCTTATATTATTCTATTGGTATTTATTAGCACAATATATTTTTGTGTTGATTGTGATGACTATCAGAAGTTTGTTCATGTTTTGCTCCAATTGAAGCTCATGTACTGGTAATTGTCCAAAGACTAAACTCACTATTGACATGAGGCACATCATTCAACCTGTGTTACATGGACTCGGCAGTTGAAGGTGAAGTATCCCGTGTCGACATGACACGACACGACACGACACGACATGACACGGGTGCGAGTATGGGATCTGTGTCGAATTCGCCTCCTCTCTCTCGAACACGGCTAATCGAAAAGAAAGAAGATTGAGATACTTATAGGGATGTGTTGGGTTCGAGATCTGGATTTGTTGGATCATAGCTTCATCGACGAGTGAATGTCGGCTACAATAACCACATCATCTAGAGTTAGAACCCAGAGAGAGAGAGAGAGAGAGTCATAATCACCAAGTGGGAAGGAAAAGAAAGAGAAGAGAGCTTCGATCGTGCTGTGCGTATTTCTTCTTCTTCTGTTTTTTTTTTTTTTTAACTCTGTTGTGCGTAGTTCAGAGAGAGGAAAGAGGAGAAAAAGGGTGAGAGAAGAGAGAGAGTTTGACTGGCTGTATATAGCCGGAAAGCATTTGCTAGGTTTGGCTAATGGGCTAGACCCAAATATATAAAATAACAATTTAGGCCTATTTAGTGTTTTGTATCTGCCTTATTTTGTCTGGGCCTACAGTGTTTTATTCTGACTTATTTAATTTTTTGGGCCTAAATAAAATAAGTTTGGGTCTATTTTTTTAGTGTTTTGTATTTGGCCAACATTTTTATTAAAATAAAAATAACTTATTTTATCATATATAATATAATTTATTTTATATTTAAAATAATTTTTATAATTTTTATTTGTTATTTATATTTTATTTGTTTTATTTAACAAAATCTTTTATTTATTCCCTTTTTTTTTTTTTTAACTCATCTTCATAAAATAAATATATTTATAAAAAAAAACTATTTAACGTATCCCCATACCTGTATCCAAATTTAGATCCATATCTACGTATTCTTAATTTTCAATTTTGAAGACTCCACACACCCGCACCTGATACCGTACCCGAGTCCGTGTAACATAACATTCAACTACCATTTGCCACACTACACACATATTGTCTATTGGATTCCTTCACGATGCTTGCCGTTGCAATGTTTACAGTAGAGGTACCCCTATCCCAATGTAGGAGATCTATGAAGGCACCTATTGAATTTTCACCTCGAAGCAAAGATTATGTACTTTATTGAATAGTTACCATTATGGAAATGCACGGAGAATACCTTATGGTGAATTCCTGTGGCTTTGGTTCATGAGAGATGAAGTTATAACTGAAAGGAGTTTTTTATTTTTATTTTTTTAGACAGTGCAATTGGAAGGAGTTATATGAGACATTAGAGAGTTATGGGTGGGGTGGGTGTAGTTTTCAGGATGATGTTAATTTTTCCAAAGTAATTAATATGGATTCATTTTTAGCATGACATAGCTTCAAAATGAGGTCTACATCAAATTGGATTGCTGCCTTTATATATTAGTATATATATGTGTTTCTTTTGGTTGATTTCATAATTTAGTTGTTCTATTTGGTTGTTTGTACATTGAGAGGGATTAAATGGTTGAGTGGTGTAGATGATTTTAGTCTTGACCACTCTAATTTGGATTGTTTGAACATCAATTTTGCGAATTTGGTATAGGTTGTTCAGTAAATTTGGATTGGATGTCTTGGCTAAATAATGAATTTTTATTGGGTCATTGGAAATTGAATAAAATGTTGCATTCATATCATTCATAGTTTTGAATCAGAGATAAATTTTATTAGATCAGTAGAAATTGAATAAAATGTCGCCTTCAAAGTGTTTGCGGCTTTGAATAAATTAAAAGTTGATTGTCACACAACTCACAAAGTCTAGTGCACTATTATTTGAACTAATTGGCACATGAGGCATCCATTGGGTTGATTAGTTCTGTTGGGAACCATTGTAGTGCAAGGTTCACTTCCAATTTCTCCTTTGCTTTGGCCATTGTTTTTACGATTATAATGGGGTGAATTGTTGCTGTTTTATAATTTGTGGGAACTTGAAAGAAACATGACCTATATGTCCTTTGTTTTTCTTGGGCTATTATAACCTTTACTGCATAAATTATGTTTTGAATTCAATTATTTGACATATCGTTTGGGTTATTCAGGTTTGACCGTGACTGGAAAAAAATTGAAGATTTTGTTGGTTCAAAGACAGTGATTCAGGTGCTTGTATCATCATGTTGTGAAGTCTATAAGGACTTTCTTATTTTTAAATTGAAGATGTCATTATATGAATTTGTTGAGTATCCGGTTAATGTAAAAATTGTTGGGATCTGATTGAGTATTAATGAAGCTCATGACTCTCTTTGAAATGTTCTGGGGTTTTTTTTTTTTTTATCTGTTTCTTTCTTCTTCTTTTTTTTGTTTTTTTTGTTTTTCTTTTTGCTTTTAGGTAATTGGTCGACTCAATATATTGCACATTTAGTTCGCATCATCCTTGCGTTAATTTGATTTTTTTTTTCCTTCTAATCTTTATCGACTCACATGTTGGCATCCTCTATATTAATGGAACTATGCTTCATTGACTATCTTTATCTTTACCCTGTATTTCTTATTCCTATGCATGAGTTTAGCCAATATTGACAGCTTTCCATTCAAGCTAGACAGTCGGTGATTGTGGTTTCTCTATTATACTTCATCTATTGCCTCATGCCACAATTAGTGCATTTTCTTTGTTTATTTATTTGTGTTTGGTACTTTGCACTTGTTTATCTTTACAGACCTTACTGTATTATTTATTTATGTCCTTAACAACTTTGAATAGGCTGCACATATAAGTGCTTTTATGTCGTGCAATAGAACACCTCACATTTGTAATTTAGTTTTTCTCTTTGAATGAAGTTTACTTAGTGAATTTTAGTCTATGCTTGTGTGTTGCCTCTGGTACAGTTTAGGTGTTTCCTTGCCGTTCTGGATTATCGATAGCTTATGTAGGTATTAGGCAACCAGTTATGGCCTGTCCCGGCATAGGGTTAGACAATGGTACCTTAGCATGGTGCAAGTTGTGGTAGCTTATTGTTGCATGGGTCTACTGGACAGTCTGGGCAATAAAGTAAATAGTTGCCACCATGCTGTGTTGTTTGGTTGGGGGTGGCTTTAGCATTCTAATTACAGTGTAATAGATAAGACACATTTAAGAGTAAATATCGAAGAAATGGGAAATGGGGAAAGTAATTGTAAATATATGGAATGCAAAAGAGTGCAAGTGAGACATATGCCTAGTGCAAACTGATTTGCAATTACTTTCTCCAATTCCCATTTATCTGATATTTCCCCCACATTTAAAGTTTTTCTGTCCAGCAACTGATTAGTTCTTAAGTGGGAAGCTTTAGTCCAAGAATCAGCGTGACCAAATGATCTGAAACTGCTTTTAAATCATTTGATTTTCAGAACTTATCAGTCCCTAAAACTTAATTATCCTCGATGAGGAACTTCATTACTTTCTTTCTTCTACTCTTTTGTGGTTGGATGTTATTGTTCTTCTCCCTGTCTTTTTTTTTTTTTGTCATTGTTCTGTGTAACCACTTGTTCTTTTTGTTGCCTAACATCTGTTATTAGCTTTTGGATATTTCCAATTCCAACATCTGAAGAATGTTCATATATGCAATTTATCACTGCAGGCTCTTTATATATCTTGGCTAAATAATTCCATTAGCAGACCCGAAGTCGTGCCCAAAATACTTTTTGAAGGTCCAAAAAATGATACTATAGCACATGTGCCACCACCTCGAAAGGAACCAAAAAATGGTTTGGCCTGTGATGACAATGAAAGTACATATGGCAGAGGATTTTGTTTGAATTTTGGTCATTCTGACATGCTATTTCTTTTAAAAATTGGCAGTTTTAGCACCATTACAAGCTTTCATGGTTATCCATCCTTGTTGAATGCCCTTACACCTGGATATTCTCCATGGGATGACACTTCCATGCTCATACATTCTCCATCAGGTGGAATCATGCTATCCCAGGATGAATACAATCTTCATGGAGTCGAAGGCATGCATAAGTGTTTTTATTTGTGTTATTTCTCCCTTGTTCATAGATATATGTATATTTTTAATTTGAGAGAACTTTCTTGTACTTATTATGGCATACAATGTTACTGCTTCAGCTGATATTGGATCAAAGGGGGTAGCTAGGATTAGTAACAGCGGCATTGATGGCATCGGAAGCTTGAGTAGAACAATATCAAGTTCTGAATTATCGAAGCAAGGGAAACCAGGTTAATTGTTTCAAGGTAATCTTCTCAACTGTATTGATGATTGGTTTAAATTAGTCAATCATGGTGAAGTTTTAGACTTGCTGCCCAATACTAAAGTGGAACAACTTGCTCTCTTCACAATGTTTTTCTATTTATATTATGCGCTTTAGATACTTGTTATCTAATTTGTATGTTAGTGCTCTCCTATCTTACTTGCCCTATTTGTATTGTTGTACTTGAAGTGCAACATGTGTCATAGGGAACTTTTTTTTTTTTTTTCAGTTCCTAAGATTTGGCAATACTGGAAATGTCACTCTGAAAGAATTTTCCATGGTGGTAACATACTGGTTTTGGATTGTTTCTCTTTGGGTTATTGGGGTAGTTTGATCTGAGTTTTTATCAGTATGATTGAGTCCACTTAATTGCCTAACAAATTTTCAATAATGATGGTTGGTAGAAACTATAGAAGTTGTGGAGCCATTATATTGCTCATTTATATATCAATTATGAATTTCTCCATCTTCCTCAGCCTACTATGACTTGGGTGCAGGTGCATCCAGTTTTTGAAAATATCAATTATTTTGGAGTGTTAGCAAGCATGCCTATACCTGTTTGGTTTATGTTAACATGAGTACTGTTTGTCTGGCTGAAGTAGTATTCATTTATTCAACTACGCAAAACTCATGAACAAAATAACTCATCTGTTATTCCTCTCATACACTTATGCTTTTCAGTTAAATTTTTTTTAGGTATACCAGATTTTGCTGAAGTCTATAGCTTATGCTTCACTTATGCTTTTCAGTTAAATTTTTTTTAGGTGTACCAGATCAAAAGTACTACACCTAATAACTGAAACATCAACTATATCAACACCACGTGCAAAAACAACCCTCAACATATTCAGAAAATCAATATTATTTCAAACCATACAATTCGGATAGCCCACAATAGAATATGAAATACGCATCGTCTCAGGTTTCAAATTCTCCCACGTTTTATACAAAATGTCAACCAATTTCTCAAAATTCAATTTACAAAAAACATTAATGACAATAGTATCATTCCCATATTTGCACAGCAACAACACTGCACTGTCCATCGAAACTGAAAGAAAAAATAAGAAAAATAATTTGTTCAATATAAAAACACTTCACAAGAACAACGTAAAAATTCAGAGAAATTTCTAATAATTATAATTTTCTCTAGATTATAATAACAAACTTGTAATTTTCTCTGGACTCAAATAAAAGTCCAGAAACATTTATAAACTTATATTCTCCTTCAAGATAACAAAAATAAAATCACAGAAAACTTAATGAATTCAGAGAGAATCACAGAGAAATTTTGTACTAACTATTAAACACAATAATAAACAAAAATCACACAAAGAATTTGTTATGAAATTATAAGCTTCTCTTTGATTTTCACTGAACTACAAGCTTACAATTTTCTCTGTGTGATTGTGCAATATTGCACTCATATCAAAATCCAGAGAAATTTATGAACTTATATATACCTTCAAGATAACATAAAATACTGCACTATCCATCTAAACTGAAAGAAAAAACACAAAAAATTACTTTTGCTTAGAGAAACAAAAACTTATATTCATTTTGAACTACGAACTTATAATTTTCTCTGAACTACAAATAAAAGTCCAAAGAAATTTAAGAACTTATATTCACTTTCAAGATCACAAAAACAAAAATACATTAACATCAAATTGACAAAAATGCTAACTATTCCACACAAACGCAGAGAAACTCATAAAGAAGATCTATTATGCTTACAAAACATTCAATTGAGAAAAATAAGAAATAAAAAATAACAAACTTATAATAACATGTCCATAACAAATTACAATTTTCTCTGTGATTTTCACTGGACTACAAACTTACAATTTTCTCTGTGATTTTTATTGAACTACAAACTTACAATTTTCTCTGAGATTCTTTCTACATTAGAAACTTCTAATAATATGTCCATATGAACTTATAATTTTCTCTGTGATTTTCGTAGGATTATAATAACGAACTTACAATTTTCTTTGGACTATACCAACAAAAGTGCAGAAAAAGCAAAGAACAAAACTTAGAGAACAAAAATGATAAGAAATTTACACTTATCTCTAGTTTAAAGAAATTTCTCTGGTTTGAAAAATATAGAGAACAAAACATATCATTAATAAGCATGTTGATGAAAAACAGAGTACGAAAAATGAACTCTAAAAGTCAAAATCAACTCTATCAAGCTGACTTCTCTCTAAAATTGATCAATTATACAGAATGAAAAATCAACTTCAAAAATTATAAACAACTTCACTGAGCTAGCCTCTCTTTTAAATTGATCAAAACTGAAAACAAAAACCTAATGCAAAAATACATTTAAAAAACTAATATGAAATCGGAATCCTTATATAAAATACAAAACAAAAATCGAAATCCATGTGGAATCTCCATCGAAAACATACCTAATTCAACTCCATTGAAAAACCTACACAATCAACACACTGTAACACCGATACAATCATAGCTATCTCTATCGTCAAGTCCACTGCAACATTTGCAAAATCTCTACAAAATCTCCACCGCGAAGTCAGTTTCCAAAATCTCTACCGTGAAGTCAGCAATAGAATATTCAGTTTGCCAAAATCCAAACAAACTTATGTTATAAAGAAGGGTAAATTGGGTATTTTATAACATAAAAATAAGGTTGAGGGACCTTAGCTATCAAAACATATTATTGTGGATCTCTTCTCCTATCGAAAGTTGGGCAGGGATTTTAGACCAATTTTCCCTTATAATAATATATAGATATAGGTATAAATTATTTAAATAGATTGGCCAATAGGTAAATTGAAAAATCAACAATTTTATGATAGAATTTTGAAACTCCCACAAATCTTCTCATTAGAAATCCTCTTTTCCTTAATATATATATATATATATATGATATTATTGTTTGGTTTAATTTTTAGAATATGTTTTCTTGAAATATTTTTATAAAATTTAAAAACATACATAAATTTCATATGATATTATATTTTTTAAGGTAGAAATAATTTTTAAAATTTTTATAAAAAAATAATATTTATTTTTATCAAATTAACTTATAATTTAAAAAAAAAAAAAAAAGAATCTCAGAAAATCAATTCTAAAAATCAAACCAAAACCGAAAGAAGCAAGTATTCATTTGCCACACAGTTCAGTATCTACTACTCTCTCTCTCCTCGCACACGCACAGAGCTGAGCTTGAAGATGTCAAGCAGAAGAAGAAGAATTTCTATTTCTTCCATTATTGGACCAAGAATAGCTTACTACAATAATTGGCTATTAAAAGGTACTTCGAAATCGAAATCAAAATCTCCATCTCCATCTCCACTTGTTAAAGTAATCATCCCTCTTGTTTCTTATTTGTTCTGTTTCATTCTCTCTCTAACACCACCAAAAACCCTAGTTGTCCTCCTCAAGAACGCGAAAGAAAGTTCTATAGAATGGCTATTAGACCAGCGATGTTGTGAGGGACGGAGTGTTGGGCGACCAAGAAATGACATGTAGATAAGATGAGTGTTGTTGAGATGAGGATGCTAAGATAGATGTGTGACAAGACTAGAAAAGATAAAATTAGGAGTGAATTTATTCGGGAATGGGTAGGAGTAGCACCGATAGAAGATAAGTTGAGAGAAAATAGATTGAGATGATTTGATCATATTCAATGAAAATCAATAGAGGCAGTAGTGAAGAGATGCAATGCGGTGACGGTGGAAGGAAGTGTTAGGGGACGAGGTAGATCTAGATTGACGTTAGCTAGCATAGCAAATAGAGATATAAACTTACTTAATATGACTAACGGAATGGCCTTTGATAGAGCCGCGTGGAGAAGAAGGATTCATGTAACCGATCCCATTTGATGAGACTTAAGGCTTTGTTTGGTTTGGTTTGGTTTGGTTTTTTTTTTCCAGTAGAGATTGTAATCTAGTTTTAGTCTATAATATTTGCCTAAACTGATGTAGATTCCTGATGAATTTGTTATTGAAGTGAGACCTTGGCATGTTAAGCCAACTCCGCAGCCAAGTGTGCACTCCAGAAAACTAACTTTAATATGTTTTAGTTGGAATGATGCACAAAACTACTAGTCAATGGGAAAACTAACTTTAATATGTTTTATTGATACATACCATACTAATACAAAAAAGGTAAACTAACTAGTGGTGTATAATATTAACCACATTGGTTGGGTTTTATTATGCCTTTTCTCTTGTACTAGGATGAACTTAATAAATTGGTAAAATTTAAATGATTAGAGAATGATCATCATGTTTATATGAAAAACCAAATCTAAAATATTAACTACCAGAATGCTCATGGAATTATTCCTTGTGTAAATCCTCGAGTGCTGTAATATTAGTTTCTCTTTGCAAGAAATAGAAGACAGAGCCATTGCCTTGTTTCAGTAAATGACTCGAAGGGGCATAAAGCCTAGCTTTTGCCACCTTAAACACATGTGGCCATTTGAAAGGCTTATATGCATTTTTTCTCAATTCTCATGATCACTATATTTAGGAATAAGATATTTAGGATTTTTTAGGACAGCGTTAGATCCGATGAATCTAAAGGGGAGAGGCTTAAGCCCTTATATACACATGGGCTTATGCTTCTCTTTCATTTATTCGGGACTTGTTGGTAAGTCTCTTAGCAAAATGCTACTCCTATGTTTTGGATTCTTATGGGCTCATTGCTACCTCTCTTAGCAGAAATGTAATTCACATGTTGCAGATTCTAGTAGATTCTTGTGCAGGGGACTGAAGTTCTGTATTAGTAGGCATTTCCTTGGGAATTTGAGACAAATGACCACCAGTAACGTTTGTTGACATTGCTTTATGAGTTCAATGTGCATCAAATAGTTCTCCAGACCAGATTCATTGGCCCTTAAATTTCTCTGGAATATTAGCATGATGTGTTGGAGGAGACACAATTGCTGTACTAGTAAGTTGGATTGGTTAGAATAGTTGTTGGTCATGAGGCTT